AAACTTTTCTTACCGGGGTCAAATTTCGATGTCGTGACTCCCAAAGACAAACCAGCCGCTTCAAGTTTCGAATCAACCACCAGCTTGCGATAATCCCTCTCTGCTTTATCCAAACCAGCCAAGGTTATCAACTTCCCACCGAATTCCGGGCTTAACTTCGGTTCTTTTTGCTTTGTCTCTTTTTCTACAACAGAGTAAAAGTTCCGACCTGTTAGTACACAGAACAATACGAGAATCAGACAAGCATATCCGAATTGACAAAACATAAAGAAAAACTTACTGGCTCCGGAATGAATTAACATGGGAATTGTCATCCCATCAATTCGGCGCTCATGGAAGAAATCCACCGACTGCCATTCTCCACCTATCCACACCCATTCCTCCTGAAAACCGTGGAGACTCTCCGGAATCTCAGTAACAATTTCCCCAACTTTGATACCGTGTTGCGGCTTCGCCCCGGCGAAGAAGCAACAAGACGATTCTGCCACCCTCCTCTTCGGGCTTTGCTTAAAGGCAAAAATACTCCTCATCTCATCGCACGACGGTAGTCCCTCACCCCTCTCGTGCAGTAACACCATTAGCCCGATTATCTTCTTCCAGCTATTCGGCGTGATTTGGCACAACGGTAACTCCCAACTCCGGAGGTATTCCGTGATCAAATTTGGCAACGGGAACCTCAATCCCGACCTCAGACTCTCCGCGAAAACGCCCACACAACCCGGAGGGGGACTTGTTATTCTCTCCCCGGGATAAGGAGCAAAGATTTTCACTGAGGGGGGAATCCGAACTTGTTCCCTCAACATGACGACGTCAGCGTCGGTAAGAATACTTGGCTCGCCAATGAAATCGATCGCCGGATCGGGCCACCTCCTCACCGGTCTTCTCCAATGCGGCACCGCGAGGTCGGTTGCATTATGCTCAACTACCACGTCACCATCCTCGTCGTTTAACTGGATATTCAGATGCCTTACCAACGACGGGTCCCACCGGTGATATTCAAAGGCCAATTCGACCAATTCTGAATCGTGATAAACATCCAGCGGAACCGACTCCGTGCTCGATGAACTTGCCACCGCCTTTCCCTTTCCTTTCGACGCCATCGTACGATTGAACGAAATACAAGAAAAATAACAAAAGAAATCGAAGGAAAAGCTTACCGAAAATCTCTCACACAGCAAGCAAAGAAGATTCTTCAGAATATCAGATGAACTCAACAACAAGTGATATGAAAGCTCGAAAAATAATAGCACAGGTGAAGAAAACCCGATCAAATATCGCCAAACCCTATTTATAAGCGTCAATTTGTAACCGTTGAGTATCGTCATTGGGGGCGCGTCGAACCGACGCGACCCCTAATCCTAACCGACGCCGCCCCTTCATCTGATGAGACACCTACTGTTACACGTGGCTACCTATT